GAGAGGACAGCAGCAATGAGACACAGCACGATGATCATGGCCCACACTCTTCCCCTGGAGAACCGGTAGGCCTGCAGCAGACACACAAGTCACGGTCATGGCTATATGGCACTCTACAGCATTAGTTAGACTAAAGATGATTAATTTCTAGAAGTTAACATTTTGGTTCTAAAAAAAGAACAAACAAAAATCCACACACATCATTAAATTGTAGGCGGATTTGACTCTTACCATCTGAAGGATGATGTCAGTAGGTGCCATACCCTTAACAACCCCAAGCACGGAACAAAACAGTGTCTGTTCCTGCGCCATCCTCACCATTGTCCCTATGTCTGGTCCAATTGCTGTAGCCAGTGTCAAGCCATCTTCTTGAGGGCCTGCCTCGTTTTCGTTTCCCCTCTACTTGACCAAGCATGATGTCCATTCCAGGAACTGGTCTCTCTTGACAAGTCTAAGGATGTAAAAAGTCTCACTGTCCTTGATTCTAAGGTGCCGTCTGGTCAGACTTCCTCCAAAACAGATGTTTGGCCTTTGGGATGTTCATGGTATTTTCAACATTCTCCAGCACCACAATTCAAATGCATTTTGCATCTTCTTCAGTCTTTTTATTCCATGTCCCACTTTCATATGCATATGAGGCAATTGAAAATACCATGGCTTTGGTCAAGTGCACCCTAGTTCTCAAAGTAAGATCCTTGCTTTTCAACACGCTAAGCAAGTCGTGTACAGCAGATTTACCAATGCAACACATATTTGCTCTCTTGATTGCTGCTTCCAAGAGCAACTTCAACCTTTTGTCCATTTATCATGATGTTCCCTATTGTTCCAGCTGTGAAAATTTGGGTCTTCTTAGCATTAAGTTGTAATCTATAGTGAAGACGGCAATCCTTGATTTTCAATAGCAAGTGCTTCAAGATCTCTTCACTTTTAACTAGCGAGGTTGTGTCATCTGCATATTGAAGGTTATTAATAGGCTTCCCTCCAATCCTGATGCCACATTCTTCTTCATACAGCTTCTCTGATGACTTCCTCAGCATATAGATTGAATAAGTAGTGGTGGGCGGATACAACCCTAACACACACACCTTTTCTGATTTTAAACCATCTGGTATTCCCCTATTCTGTTTATACATCTACATACAAGTTGTTCATGAGCAAAGTGTTCTGGAATTCCCATTTTTCTCAAGGTTATCTATAGTTCATTACAGTCAACATAGTCAAATGTCTTTGCATAGTCAATAAAACACAAGTAAGCATCTTTCTGGTATTCTTTGCTTTCAGTCAAGATTCATCTGATATCACCAATGATACCCTTTGTTCCATGTAGTCTTCTGAATCCAGCCTGAATCTCTGGCAACTCCCTGTCAACGTACTGCTGCAACTGTTGGATGATCTTCAAATTTTACTTGCATGTGTTATTAATTATATTGTTTTATAGTATGAGCATTCTGTTAGGTTACCTTTCTTTGAAATGGGCATAAATATGGATCTCTTTGAGTCAGTTGGCCAACCAGCTATCTTCCAAATTTCTTGGTATAGATAAGTGTTTCCAATGCTTCTTCAGCTTGTTGAAACATTTCAATTAGTATCCCATCAATTTCTGGAGGCTTGTGTTTTGGTTAATGCTTTCAGTGCAGCTTGAACTTCTTCCTTCAGTACCACTGGATCTTGCTCATATACTACCTCCTGAAATAGTGGACTGTCAGATGGTTCAGGGACTGTGTATTCTCTTTTCTTTTGATGCTTCCTATATCCTTCAATATTTTTGCAGATATAATTTTTCAATATTGTAACTTGACACTTGAATTTTTTCTTGAATTCTTTCGGTTTAAGTATGGTCTGTGTGCTTCTTAGGGGCAATGATGGTGAGACTTCTACTTACGTACTTTGGACATGTTATCAGGAGAGACCAGTCCCTGGAGAAAGACATCATGATAAAGTAGAGGAGCTGCCAAAAAGAGGAAGACTCTCAACAAGATGGATTGACACAGTGGCTGCAACAATCGAATCAAGCATAAGAACAAGTGTGAGGTGGCACAAGAGCAGGTGTTGTCTTTTTCTGCTGTGAATAGGGCCACTGAAGTCACAACCAATTCTATGTCAGTCAACAACAGCAACCTCGGTTTAAAATATGCCGCTTGTGTGCTTCCTTTTTGGTTTTCTATCTCTAGGGCTCTGCACATTTCATGATAATATTTTACTTTACCTTCTGTCCTTTGAAAATTTAGGTTCAGCTCTTCGACTTCATAATTTTTTCTATGTGCCTTAGCTACTCTAGTATGAAGAGCAAGCTTCCGGGTCTCTTCTGATATCTACTTTGATCTTTGCTTTCTTGTCTTTTTAATGACCTTTTGTTTTCTTCTTGCATGATGTTCTTAATGCCCTCCCGCAACTCCTCTTGCCTTCTGTCCTTAGTGTGCAACATAGCAAATCTGTTCTTGAGATATTCTCGAAATTCAGGTGGGTTAGGCTCAAGTTTGTATTTTGGCTCTCTTGAACTTCTTTTAATTTTCTTCAGCTTTAACCTGAAAACTTACATATGAGTAACTGATGGTCTGTGTGCTCCTTAGAGGCAATGATGGTGAGACTTCTACTTACATACTTTGGACATGTTATCAGCCCCTGGCCTCAATTTAGCTGCTAATATTGAGTTTTTCCATCATCTCTTCCCACAGATGTAGTCAATTTGATATCTGTGTATTCCTTCTGGACACGTCCATGTGTATAGTTACCTTTTGTGTTGTGGTAAAATGGTACTTGCTATGAGTAAGTCATTGGTTTAGAAAAATTCTAGCATGCAATCTCTAGCTTCATTCCTATCACCAAGACCGTATTTTCCAACTACAGGTGTTTCCTCCTTTTTGAAACATTTGCATTCTAATTGCCAGAGTTTATCAAGGCATCTTGATTGCATGTTTGACCAATTTCAAACTGAAGACTTTAGTAGAATTCTTCAATTCCTTCATCACTAGCTTTCATAGTTGGTGCATAAATTTGAATGGCCATAGTATTGATTGGATTTCCTTAAAAGCAGATAAATATAATCGACCGCAGACTGCATTGCACTTCAAACTAGATCTTGAAGTTTCCTTTGTGAGAATGACTGCAGTGTCATTCCCAGCTGAGCAAACCATATATTTTCTGATTCAGAATGGCCAGTCCCAGTCCACTTCAGGTCACAAGTGGCTAGGATATCAATTTTTATGCATTCTGTTTCATTTTTGACGACTTACAATTTTCTTTGATTGAGACTTCACACATTCCAAGTTCTGATCACTAGAGTTTAACCGCTGTTTCTTCTCACCTTGAGCAGTGTGCCCCAACAGCAAAGGAAGACTCCATTCATGTCACCATGGTCGACTCTAGTTTGAGAAAGTATCTCCTCCTCAGTCACACTTTGAATGCCTTCCAACTCACAGGATCTAGCCTCTGGCATTATCGCTGATAATGGCATGCTTCATTCAGCCTTCATTCTGACAATGTTTCAAAACTATGCATAAGTTTTCAATGGCTACTTCCTCCCAAGTGGGCAGGCAGGTCATTCTTCATAGTCTGTTCTTAGTTTGGAAACTGATGGTGAAATCTGTTCACTTTGAGTGACCATGCTGGCATTTGAAATACCAGTAACACAACTTCTACTATTAATACTAGTGACATAGCTTCCAGCATCATAGCATCACATAAGCCACCACAGTACAACCAACTGACAGAGAAGTGGTAGACCCTGAATGATAGAACCACTCATGAGCCATTGGTCACTTCTGGAGCCCAGAACATGCTGGTGAGTTTTAATTATTAAAATTAATATGCTAGGTGTTTAGAAAGCAATAATGAAAGTTACTTTATGAAAATGCAATCACAAGTTGATGACTTGATATATTTACATATTGTAAAATGTAAAACAATTTTGATGTGTAGCTTTCAACTTGCCAATGTAAATATTACACAAACAGTCAACCTCAGTATTCTTTTCCTTGATCTCTGTCTCCAGAAGTTGAAAGTTTTCAAGAATCTGAAAGTGTTTCTGTGTCATAGTATTTATTGCCACAGCAACTATATCCATATTTTCAGATATGATTTTGAAAAGAAGGGCTTGCTCATTACCATTGAGTTAATTCTGGCTAAGGAGGAGGCAAGATTTTAAAATATGTTCTTCAATGGTAGTTATTTATTAAACATGTAATTTCAGTAAAAAATATATTAAATAATATTACTTATTAAATACTACATTAAACCTACCTTTAAAGCACAATAATCAAAAAATCCAGTTTCTGAAAATATGGCTACTAAGATCATCTATAAGAGAAAAGAGATTTTTTTTTAAAGATTAGGAGAATATTTTAGCAGAACAGTGTGCCACAGTGGGTCAGGGTGACATTGCAAATTTGAACCATTCCGCCAACCAATAAGCTGTGTATCTCTTGCTGCAGATCCTCATTTCCTCATCTAATCCATGGCTGTACTTCAATTTTACCACCTTTCAATGTTCTCAAAGTAACACTGGCGGCACAATGGATTAAGCCTTTGGCTACTAATCACAAGGTCAGTAGTTCAAAGCCACAACCCACTCCACAAGAGTGAGATGAGGCTTTATGCTCCAGGAAAGATTTATACCCTTTAGAGCGGTTCTACTCAGTCCTATAAGGTCACTGAATCAGAACTGACTCAACAGCAGTGGGTTTGTAATTGCCTGTATCTTGTAAAGTTGTTGTGATAAGTCAATAAAAATATACATTAGAGTAGGTGGTAGATTATAGATTTTTTAAGTAGACTATATAAAACATTTAAACCCAGTAAACATGCCTATCTTATCTAAGCTGACCTTTATGTCCATTCTAATACTATATGGATGGTGTCTACAGAACTTGGTGCTTCTCCTAACATTAAAAGTCCCAGGCCAACATTGAGTGACAAAGCAGAGTCCATGTGGTTCCGTGGGTAATGAAGCAGTGCCTCCAAAGCCATGATAAAACAGAAGACCGGATTTGCATCCTCATAGTGCTAGAATATCAAACCTTCCAAGGATTTACTGAACTTATTCAATTAACACAAAGACCAATTAAATGGTTCTTTTAATTTATTTCTTTTAAAAAAAAACTATGCTTCCCTCTACTCAAATGCCAAACCCTATAAATTGTTCCGGCTTCAACACAAGGCTTCTATCCTCTGTGAAGAATAAGTCAGTCAGAGAACCACCTGTTCATCTCAATCCCTAACCCGTACCTTCTGCCATACTTCATCCCCAGAGTGCAGTGCTAGGCTGGGTGATTGAAGCCTAGGATAGCAGGCCTTGCACTCTGCAGGTCTCCTTCAAACTATCTGCCATCCAGACCCTTGGCAAACGCTACAGATCACCACCACACTGAGCTGTGACTGTACCCACGTTAGCCTACGTGCTCTACAAGGAAGGGAAGAGCCCGTCAGGATGCAGTACAGCACCGAAGAAACACACAACTTTCCCCTAGTTCTTTAGTGCTCCCCCCGCCCCCTCCCACTATCATGACCTCAATTCTACCTTACAAATCTGAGTAGACCAGAGCATGCACACGGTACAGATAAGAGTTGGAAACACAGGGACTCCAGGACGGATAAACCACTCAGGATCAATAATGAGAATACAGATACCAGGAGCAGAAGGGGAAGGTTGGGGGGGGGAAGGGGGGACCTAATCACAATGATCTACATTAACTCCCCTTCCTAGGGGTATGGACAACAGAAAAGCAGATGAAGGGAGGCAGCGCTCGGTGTAAACATGGGGGTGGGGGAATTTTTATAAATTATCAAGGGTTCATGAGGGAGGGGTGGGGAAATGAGCTGATATCAAGGGCTCAAGTACAAAGAAAATGTTTTGAAAATCATGATGGCAACATATATACAAATGTGCTTGACACAATGGATGGATGGATTGTGATAAGAGATGTGAAAGCCCCAATAAAATGTTTTTTTTAAAAATAAAAAATAAATACAAAAAAATGTCCCTTATAGCAATCCATCTTGGTCACATTTCTCACAAATCACAGTTGCTGTGTACCGAATGACCACTTGATAATGTCAATAACAAACACACAAACCGAGGGACTATTTCTTCCCTTAAATGTGAAGTAGTCAGGGGGCAAAAAAGGAGGAGCTGATGCCAGGGGCTTAC